TGGCAAAACGAATCCAGCAGCACATCAAAAAGCTTATCCACCATGATCAAGTGGGCTTCATCCCTGGGATGCAAGGCTGGTTCAACATAGGCAAACCAATAAACCTAAACCAGCATATAAACAGAAGCAAAGACAAAAACTACATGATTATCTCAATAGATGCAGAAAAGGCCTTTGACAAAATTCAACAGCCCTTCATGCTAACAACTCTCAATAAATTCAGTATTGATGGAATGTATCTCAAATTAATAAAAGCTATTTATGACAAACCCACCGCCAATATCATACTGAATGGGCAAAAACTGGAAGCATTCCCTTTGAAAACTGGCACAAGACAGGGATGCCCTCTCTCACCACTCCTATTCAACATAGTGTTGGAAGTTCTGGCTAGGGCAATCAGGCAAGAGAAAGAAAGAAAGGGTATTCGGTTAGGAAAAGAAGAAGTCAAATTGTCCCTGTTTGCAGATGACATGATTGTATATTTAGAAAACCCCATTGTCTCAGCCCAAAATCTCCTTAAGCTGATAAGCAACTTCAGCAAAGTCTCAGGATACAAAATTAATGTGCAAAAATCACAAGCATTCTTATACACCAGTAACAGACAAACAGAGAGCCAAATCAGGAATGAACTTCCATTCACAATTGCTTCAAAGAGAATAAAATACCTAGGAATCCAACTTACAAGGGATGTAAAGGACCTCTTCAAGGAGAACTACAAACCAGTGCTCAGTGAAATAAAAGAGGACACAAACAAATGGAAGAACATACCATGCTCATGGATAGGAAGAATCAATATTGTGAAAATGGCCATACTGCCCAAGGTAATTTATAGATTCAATGCCACCCCCATTAAGCTACTAATGACTTTCTTCAGAGAATTGGATAAAACTGCTTTAAAGTTCATATGGAACCAAAAAAGACCCCACATTGCCAAGACAATCTTAAGCCAAAAGAAGAACGCTGGAAGCATCACACTACCTGACTTCAAACTATACTACAAGGCTACAGTAACCAAAACAGCATGGTACTGGTACCAAAACAGAAATATAGACCAATGGAACAGAACACAGCCCTCAGAAATAATACCACACATCTACAGCCATCGGATCTTTGACAAACCTGACAAAAACAAGAAATGGGGAAAGGATTCCCTATTTAATAAATGGTGCTGGGAAAATTGGCTAGCCATAAGTAGAAAGCTGAAACTGGATCCTATCCTTACTCCTTATACGAAAATTAATTCAAGATGGATTAGAGACTTAAATGTTAGACCTAAAACCATAAAAACCCTAGAAGAAAACCTAGGTAATACCATTCAGGACATAGGCATGGGCAAAGACTTCATGTCTAAAACACCAAAAGCAATGGCAACAAAAGCTAAAATTGACAAATGGAATCTAATTAAACTAAAGAGCTTCTGCACAGCAAAAGAAACTACCATCAGAGTGAATAGGCAACCTACAGAATGGGAGAATATTTTTGCAATCTACTCATCCGACAAAGGGCTAATATCCAGAACCTACAAAGAACTCAAACAAATTTACAAGAAAAAAGCAAACAACCCCATCAAAAAGTGGGCAAGGGATATGAACAGACACTTCTCAAAAGAAGACATTCATACCCAACAGAAACATGAGAAAATGCTCGTCATCACTCACCATCAGAGAAATACAAATCAAAACCACAATGAGATACCATCTCACACCAGTTAGAATGGCAATCACTAAAAAATCAGGAAGCAACAGGTGCTGGAGAGGATGTGGAGAAATAGGAACACTTTTACACTGTTGGTGGGACTGTCAACTAGTTCAACCATTGTGGAAAACAGTGTGGTGATTCCTCAAGGATCTAGAACTAGAAATACCATATGACCCAGCCATCCCATTACTGGGGATATACCCAAAGGATTATAAATCATGCTGCTATAAAGACACATGCACACGTATGTTTACTGTGGCACTATTCACAATAGCAAAGACTTGGAATCAACCCAAATGTCTATGAGTGACAGAATGGATTAAGAAAATGTGGCACATATACACCATGGAATACTATGCAGCCATTAAAAAAGGATGAGTTCGTGTCCTTGGTAGGGACATGGATGCAGCTGGAGAACATCATTGTCAGCAAACTATCGCAAGAACAGAAAACCAAACACCGTATGTTCTCACTCATAGATGGGAATTGAACAATGAGATCACTTGGACACAGGAAGGGGAACATCACACACCGGGACCTATGGTGGGGAGGGGGAGGGGGCAGGGATAGCATTAGGAGATATACCTAATGCAAACGACGAGTTAATGGGTGCAGCACACCAACATGGCACATGTATACATATGTAACAAACCTGTATGTTGTGCACATGTACCCTGGAACTTAAAGTATAATAATAAAAGAAAATTAAAAAACAAAACAATAAAAAAAACAAGAAATGTTCATCAAGCAAAACAATGAAAAATAAATTTAAAAAATTGCAATGAGGGGCAACAGGTATTCTCATCTATTTCTGGTGGGTAAATTAGTAATCCTTTTTTTGAGAAAAATTTGCACAAGCTCTTTTATCCAGCAATGCCTAGGTATTTTCCCACATGCATTTGTACAAGGTCATTCATTGTAGCATCCTCTGTGATAAGATGTGATCAGAGGTGATTGAAATTCTCATGGTTAGATGGATTCTGTCATATCCATGAAACAGAGATGAATACTACCATAGACAGAATATGGCCATATTCGGATGAAATGAAAAGTTCTTCAAGATGTACTTTTAAGGGAAAAAAACAAGATGTAGAGCATTTGGTATAAAATGCTGCCAATGGAAAGAAAAGATGCATTTGGGTATATTTGTAAATAACAGACCACTTCTGGAAAGGTAAACAAGAAAGGAATAACGGTGGCTGCTTCATAGGAGTTGTGTTGGGGGCTGAAGAGGGTAGGATAATATATGGCATAGGCATGTATTACTTATTTTTACAGTTATACAATTAAAAACAAATATAAGTAAATTTAAAAATGGGACAATACATGAAAAAGTTTTAAAATTTGTTTTTCCTCCTGAAAAAAAATGGCTTGCTACAGAAAATATTATATTCAAACAAACTTCACTACAAACCACTACAAACCACTAAGCAATCTCTGATCAGCAGAGCAAAGGAGGGCACTTTTGAGGAAACAAGTGGTCACCTGGTTAAGTATGAGATTAAGTATCACTTTCTCCCACTCCCCTCAAAGTTGCCCTCATGCCTCCCTCTGCCCCTTGGGGCTGCCTGGCTGGGGTCCTAATTTCCCAAGGCAATGGCATGTGAACTTGAGGAAAATTATTAGAGTGTGTGCCATATGCAGACTGATAGGTCTTCCTGCCCTCTCAACCAAATGCACAAACACTCTTAAGCCCGATATTCCAGTAAATGGGTTTTTTTTTTTTTTTTTTTTTTTTTTTAAGTTTTGGACTTTGATTTCTGTTAAAATGCAGAGCATCCCAGGCAAGTTAATAGCGCTGTTCTTAGCTATTCATAGTGAGAGGAACGATGATTTTACCATCCTTTTTTTGAAAAATGAGCTTTGATTGAGAAAAATCAGTGGAGCTGGCTTTGGGCTCTAGAGGAGGTAAGACAGGATAGAGTGGAGAAGACAGAGGATGGGGAAAGGAGAAGAGAACTTGAAGATTGGAAGCTCCAAGATAAACTTCCACATTTTACCTAAGGCCTGTTCTCAAAATAAATAAAACAAGACTTTCTGTAATGTTTTATTAGGTGTGGAAAGCAGAAGAGAAGAAAATACATCAAGAAAAAACTGTAATTTTACGTAAAATTATGCTGAACTTTTTTTATCTTATCAAAAGTCCTAAGTTGGCTCATAATGAATTCTTACTAAGTGATAGCTATTTTTACTGTGATGCTGGTCCACCAGTATGGGGCGGGGGAAAGGACAGGTGGGTGGTGGGTCTATTTTCAGTCTGCCCTCCTCTTTCTCATCAAAGGAAAGACGAGAACTTTGAGAGGCTGAGGCAACCAGGAAAGGTGCAAGGAGGTGGCCAGAACAGTCAGTGCTGCTGAACGCGAATTAGTCCACTACCCAGACGATGTGAAAAGCTGGCTTGGGAGGGGATGCAGGATGCCCTGGCAGCAATGGGAGAAATGTTAAAATGATTATGTGGCACTAACTGAATGACTCTTCCCAATAAGCAGACCCAGAACATCTTTCTTCTGTGAACAACCAGGGACAGTTAGAGGCTGTTCACACCCTATAACCTTCAGGGAAATCGGGGAAGTAGAACTACTTGGATGAGGGTTAATGATTCACGTTTCACTGGTGAATACTTTCTCTCCCCTCCATTCTCCCAACATGAAGTGGTCTCTGGAGAAAGACAGACATTAAAGCTCTCTTTAATGAGAGCTTATTAAATGCCAGGCATTGTGTCAGCCCTTTACTAGCTCACATATTCCTTACAACTCTAATAGGCAGGAACCAATATTCTTAGTGCTCTAATAAGGATAGCTAAGAACAGAGAAGCTCAGCTGCTTTCCTGAGGCCAGGCAGTCGGTAAGTGGCTGGTCAGGAGGCAACACTCAGGACTGTGTCCCCAGCACTGTTCTGTAGACTGTTAAGCACTGTGAGGGCAGGAACCGTGCCTGCTCTTTCCTTGTGCCGTGCTGAGTACACTGCCCAACCAAGAAAGGTGACTGGAGGTTTGCAGAATGCAAAGGGGAATGCGGCTGGGAATGCGAGAATGAAGGCAGAAATGCCGGAATAAAGGCCGGACTGGGGTAGAGAAAGCAGGCGGGGATTCAGAAACGCGGGTGGGAATTAGAGCAGGGATGTGGGAACGCGGAAACCCCGGTGGGAACGATGGGGAGAAAGTGGCGATGTTGGGGGATGCAGTTGGGAATGCAGGAATGAGGGTGGAAATGGGGGAATGCAGGCTGGAAAAGAGTGGAGAATACAGGAACGCAGAGAGGGATGCTGCGGGAATGCGGGAGGACCCCGAGCCACCCGCTCACCTGTGAAGAAGGGCAGGAAAGCGAGGCTGCAGGCCAAGAGGAGCCCGCCTGCGGCCGAGGGGCGCATGGCTGAGGCTGCGGCCGGCCCCGTCGCTCTCTGGGGAAGAGAGCAGCCAGTGAGCTCCGTTCCCCGCAGGGGGCACGCCCAGGCCGCGGGCCGCCTCCCGCCACGCCAGTGGCCTTTCCGCCGCCGGGTGCGAGCGCCCCTCACAGCGCCCCGGATGCTGGGTGGGCCGCGCTGGGAACTCGGCCTCTGGAGGCGCCTGGGACTCGGAAGCACGGCCTAGCCGAGACTTGTCGGCCCAGGGAGCCTCTGGCCTGTCCGCTCCTTTCCACAGGCGCTGGGGGCCGGCGGGAGGCGCTGCACCGGCAGCTGCGGCCTCGGGGCGGGGCGGCGTGGTGAACAGGTACCTGACGCCGGGCGGTCCGGATGGGCTAGGCCGGACGGCACTGCGCATGCGCCGGCCTCTGCAGTCGCTTTGGCCTGCTCCATTGGTCCTCACTTCCCGCTCTTCCCGCTCTTCCCGCCCTCTGGGAGCCTTGGCCAATGAGATCCCGGTGGCTCCCGGCTCACGTGACTGGAGAAAGCCTGGTGGGCTATTTCCACAGTTCCGACGATTGGGAGAACTTGGAGGAGCTGGAATGTCTGTTTTTCCAGTTCTTTGGTTCTCACCCCCCGAATTAAAGACATGCTATTGTGGCTGACCCTCTTCCCTACCTAGCCTAAGCGTTTTTGAGGAAAGGGTACCTATATATTTAATTCTCTGACCAGGAACATCCTACCCTACCAATACCCTCCAAGTCCTCAATGCATCTAGTGCAATTCTGGCACCTCTGAAGATTTTCTAACACACCCACACCTCCTTGAGACTGAACACTTTGAAAGGACAGGGACTGTGTATATATGCATGATCCGCATACTTCCAGTCCTTAGCACTGTGCCTGGGACATAAATGCATTGTTAGTGTGTGTTGAATGAACACACACATAGGTAGAAGATTCCCTTTTCCCTATAAGCAAAAGAGTGTTAGAATTCTTCCTGTTACCCAACTGCTGTTTTGATGGCTTGCTTTTCCGGCAGCTGCAGAAGCTCTAATTCTTTGTGGAAACAACCTAAATGTTCATCAATGGATGAATGGATAAAGAAAATGTGACATCTGCCTACGATGATGTGACACCTACCTTACTCAGCCTTAAAAAGGAGATCTTGTGACAAGCTACAACATGAAGGCATCTTGAGCACATTATGCTAAGTGAAATAAGCCAGTCACAAAAAGACAATTACTGCATGATTCCATTTACATAGGTATCTAAAGTAGTCAAACTCTTAAAAACAGAAAGTAGAATGGTGACTTCCAGGAGCTGGGGAAGGTGAAGGGCAGTTATTGTTCAGTGGGTGTAGAGGTTCAGTTTTGCAAGATGAAAAAGTTCTAGGGATCTGTAGCACAACAAGGTGCATGTAGTTGGTAGCACAGAACACTTAAAAATGATTAAGATGGTAAATGTTATGGAATGCGTTTTTTCCGCAATAAATAATAACAATAATTTAAAGGAAAAACCTACTCGTTTAACATTTACATCACAACCTTCATTCCTTGTGGCAGATTCACCAGCCACTAAGTTGCTTTGACCATTCATCCAGTGTTTTGACCCGTGATTGATAAACATCCCCTAAAGCACTTTGCAACAGAACTTGCTGCAATGATGAAAATGTTCTATATCTGTGCTAATACAGTAAGTACTGTGGTGGGTCGAATGGTGGCCCCACATATTTGTCCACATTCGAATCCCCAGAACTTGTGAATATTACTTTATATGGAAAAATGTGTGATTAAGTTAAGAATCTTGAGGGAGAACTTATCCTGGATTATATAGGTGGGACCCTAAATGCAATCACATTTATCTTTATAAGAGAAGCAGAGGAAGTGTTTTTGAGACAGAGGAGAAGACACAGAGAAGCAGAGGCCATGTGACCATGGAGACAGAGATTGGAGTGATGAGACCCACAAGCCAAGGAATACTGACAGACACTAGCAGTGGCAAGGAACGGAGTCTCCCCAAGTCTCTAGCAGAAGCGTGACCCTGCCAACAACTGATTTCGGAATTCTGGCTTCCATAACGTTGTGAAAATATATTTCTGTTTTTATCGGCCACTTAGTCTGTGGTAATTTGTTACATCGGCCCTAGAAAATTAATAGAAGTAACACATTTGGCTCTTGAGGTGACTGTACACTTGAAATGTGGCCAGTAAGGCTGAGAAATGGAATTTTAAATTCTATTTGATTTTAGTTAATTTAAACTATAAATCATCTTGAGTTGCTGTCTTCTGCCCTTTAGCCGCACTCCACTTCCACACAGTCACACAGTGAAATTTCTTTTCTTTTCTTTTCTTTTCTTTTTTATTATACTTTAAGTTCTAGGGTACATGTGCACAACGTGCAGGTTTGTTACATATGTATACATGTGCCATGTTGGTGTGCTGCACCCATTAACTCATCATTTACATTAGGTATATCTCTTAATGCTATCCCTCCCCCCTCCCCCCTCCCCACAATAGGCCGCGGTGTGTGATGTTCCCCTTCCTGTGTCCAAGTGATCTCACTGTTCAATTCCCACCTATGAGTGAGAACATGCGGTGTTTGATTTTCTGTTCTTGCGATAGTTTGCTGACAATGATGGTCTCCAGCTGCATCCATGTCCCTACAAAGGACACGAACTCATCCTTTTTTAATGGCTGCATAGTATTCCATGGTGTATATGTGCCACATTTTCTTAATCCAGTCTGTCACTGATGGACATTTGGGTTGATTCCAAGTCTTTACTATTGTGAATAGTGCTGCAATAAACATACGTGTGCATGTGTCTTTATAGCAGCATGACTTATAATCCTTTGGGTATATCCCCAGTAATGGGATGGCTGGGTCAAATGGTATTTCCAGTTCTAGATCCTTGAGGAATGGCCATACACACAGTGCAATTTCTAAATCTCTGAACACCTGTCCTGGAACTGAATATGACATTACTCAGGCTCTAACTCCCAATCCAGTTGTCTCCAACATTCCTAACCCCTACTCCCATGGCAGCCTATTATAGTCTATAGTGTCTCAACTGTTTTTCATCAATTCTCCCAGAGAAGTTTTTAAAATATATTCTTTTCCCAATTGACCTCTCCTCCATTAAATTGTAACACTGCTGATAAACTGTTTATTTGTTTGTACATTGTGATCTCTCAGAGGACCACAAACCATTGTAATACCTAAGATTTCTCCCTACCTCTCCCCCTTAAAAAACTCCAATTTTTGCCCTCTTAGGGATGATATTGTCCCCATTGAGAATGCATGCCCTAACCCAGTGATTCTCAACAGGAAATGATATTGTACTCTGGGCTACATTTGGCAATATATTGAGGCATTTCTGGTTATCACACTGGAAGAGGAAGTGGTGTGCTACTGACGACTAGTGGGTAAAGGCCAGCAATGCCGCTAAACATCTTATAATACAACCTTCCCCCAACCACAGCAAAGAATTATTTAGCATAAAATGTCAATAGTGCTGAGGCTGAGAAACCCTGTGTTAGCCTAGGCAACTAAAGGCCATCAAGGACAAATCTGTAGTTTGATATATCAAAATTTCTCATTTTGTGGAACTGTGGGGCATCACACCAAGGACTTATAGGATTTAGGGGAAGGGTAAATCATAGATTCTCCTACTCTTCTCAGGAGAAACTTAAATGAAACTCAAAGCAAAGCACAGATGTATGTAAATAAAACCATGTCGAGTCTGAACTGTCAGGTACAGTTTCCTAATGAAAAAGTTTAGACACAAATGTTCCTGGAAACTCCTTGTCTGTACCTCTGCTCCTGGGTTGGAAAGCAAGGCTGCTTTTCTGACAACATGTCTGATTCTCTAGGCAGGTTCACAGTGAGTAAGAAGGCAGTAGTCAAAGAAGGGGACCATTAAGACATTTTACAACTCAAGACTGCTCTTGGGAGAAACACTGTTTCTTGTTAACTCTGCAAGGAGAGTTATCTGGTGTCTGTTCTCCCAGCTTGACCAATGTCAGAAAATATTAGAGCTCATATTTAAAGCCCCATCAATAACTCAACTTGTTTGAACCTTTTTATAACTTCCACTGAGTAGTCCTTTTTTTTTTTTTTTTGAGACGGAGTCTCTCTCTGTCGCCCAGGCTGGAGTGCAGTGGAACGATCTTGGCTCACTGCAAGCTCTGCCTCCCGGGTTCACACCATTCTCCTGCCTTAGCCTCCCGAGTAGCTGGGACTACAGGCGCCCACCACCATGCCAGGCTAATTTTTTTGTGGGTTTTTTTTTTTGGTAGAAATGGGGTTTCACCGTGTTAGCCAGGATGGTCTCTATCTTGTGACCTCGTGATCCTCCCAAAGTGCTGGGATTACAGGCGTGAGCCACCGCGCCTGGACTTTCACTGAGTAGTCCTTTTATTTTCTCCAATGATTGCTGATCTGGTCTAGACTCCAGTTACTATCCCGTGTACCCTTGCTGCTTTAGTGTTCTTCTCCTGTCAACTGACTTGAAAACATTTGACTCTGGAGCCATACAGACATTCAAACAGAATTGACAAAATAAAACAGACAAAAATCACGCAAGCAAGCAGGGAAAAAAATATCTCACCCGTGTAGCTACATGCTACAACAACTTTATGCTTGTTACCCTCATTTGAGCTCCAAGTTAGCTCAGCAATCTTTTTACTCCTCTTCCTCTATTCCCTTCTGAGAGACTTCTCTGCCCAAAAGGCACAGCCACCTGCTATGAGATGCACACACTCATTCACTTATTATATTCAGTCTCCAAGTATTTGTTAACGTCTTACTATGTGTCAAATCCTCTGGCAGTGTGCAGAAATGAAAAGCACACAGTTTCTGCCCTCGAACAGTCCAGTGCGAGAGAGAGATTTATTAGTAAACCAACAATTACTATATAGCAACACACATGTTTGTAAATGTCTGGGTGATCTAGGTGGCTCCTGGCTTCGATTACCAATGATAGAGTATGCATCAGGCAGGATGAGTCTGGGTTTGTTGTAGTAACAAACCTCATTCTCTCTGTCGCCAGAAGGTGGCAGAAGCTCTGGTCCAATCAGAAACCAAGACTGCTAGAAGCTGTAATCTCAACAAGAGCTTTCCTTGCCACCATATCAGGGAAGAGGATGTGGCAAATCATGTACTGGTGCTTCAGTGTTCCTCAGGTCACATTCCACTGAGTGGTTGAAACAGCTGTGCTGACTATGCCTAACTTCAAAGGGATGGGGCAGAGTGATCCTACCGTGTGCCTTGAAGGAGAAGAGTATTTGTGTAGAGACCTAAAGACTAACACACACTAATATCTCGTAACATCAGTAATGATTTGAACACTGAGATCCCTTTGTTTCCTCCCTCTAGAAAGAAAGGAGAGCTTTAAACTTTGT